AGATCGATGATGCGTTGATGACCTCTTTACAAATCATGTTCTCCTAATAACACAAACGTGAAAATTTTCGAAAATTCGTTTCTTATAATTTATATTATCAGGAGAATATATTTTGCGAGGAGGTCGATGATGCGTTGATGACCTCTTAACAAATCATGTTCTCCTAATAACGCAAGCGTGAAAATTTTCGAAAATTCGTTTCTTATTATCTTATATTATCAGGAGAATATATTTTGCGAAAAGGTCGAAGATGCGTTGATGACCTCTTTACAAATCATGTTCTCCTAATAACGCAAGCGTGAAAATTTTCGAAAATTCGTTTCTTATTATTTTATATTATCAGGAGAATATATTTTGCGACGAGGTCGATGATGCGTTGATGACCTCTTTACAAATCATGTTCTCCTAATAACGCAAGCGCGAAAATTTTCGAAAATTCGTTTCTTATAATTTATATTATCAGGAGAATATATTTTGCGAGGAGGTCGATGATGCGTTGATGACCTCTTTACAAATCATGTTCTCCTAATAACGTAAGCGCGAAAATTTTCGAAAATTCGTTTCTTATTATTTTATATTATCAGGAGAATATATTTTGCGAGGGGGTCGATGATGCGTTGATGATCTCTTTACAAATCATGTTCTCCTAATAACGCAAGCGCGAAAATTTTCGAAAATTCATTTCTTATTATTTTATATTATCAGGAGAATATATTGTGCGAGGAGGTCGATGATGCGTTGATGACCTCTTTACAAATCCTGTTCTCCTAATAACGCAAGCGCGAAAATTTTCGAAAATTCGTTTCTTATAATTTATATTATCAGGAGAATATATTGTGCGAGGAGGTCGATGATGAGTTGATGACCTCTTTACAAATCCTGTTCTCCTAATAATGCAAACGTGAAAATTTTCGAAAATTCGTTTCTTATAATTTATATGATCAGGAGAATATATTGTGCGAGGAGGTCGATGATGCGTTGATGACTTCTTTACAAATTATGTTCTCCTAATAACGCAAACGTGAAAATTTTCGAAAATTCGTTTCTTATAATTTATAGTATCAGGAGAATATATTTTGCGAGGAGGTCGATGATGCGTTGATGACCTCTTTACAAATCATGTTCTCCTAATAACGCAAGCGTGAAAATTTTCGAAAATTCGTTTCTTATTATTTTATATTATCAGGAGAATATATTTTGCGAGGAGGTCGATGATGCGTTGATGACCTCTTTACAAATCATGTTTTCCTAATAACGCAAACGTGAAAATTTTCGAAAATTCGTTTCTTATTATTTTATAATATCAGGAGAATATATTTTGCGAGGAGGTCGATGATGCGTTAATGATCTCTTTACAAATCATGTTCTCCTAATAACGCAAGCGCGAAAATTTTCGAAAATTCGTTTCTTATAATTTGTATTATCAGGAGAATATATTTTGCGCGGAGGTCGATGATGCGTCGATGATCTCTTTACAAATCATGTTCTCCTAATAACGCAAGCGCGAAAATTTTCGAAAATTCGTTTCTTATAATTTGTATTATTAGGAGAATATATTTTGCGAGGAGGTCGATGATGCGTTGATGACCTCTTTACAAATCATGTTCTCCTAATAACGCAAGCGCGAAAATTTTCGAAAATTCGTTTCTTATTATTTTATATTATCAGGAGAATATATTTTGCGAGGAGGTCGATGATGCGTTGATGATCTCTTTACAAATCATGTTCTCCTAATAACGCAAGCGCGAAAATTTTCGAAAATTCGTTTCTTATAATTTATATTATCAGGAGAATATATTGTGCGAGGAGGTCGATGATGCGTTGATGACCTCTTTACAAATCCTGTTCTCCTAATAACGCAAGCGCGAAAATTTTCGAAAATTCGTTTCTTATAATTTATATTATCAGGAGAATATATTGTGCGAGGAGGTCGATAATGAGTTGATGACCTCTTTACAAATCCTGTTCTCCTAATAATGCAAACGTGAAAATTTTCGAAAATTCGTTTCTTATAATTTATATGATCAGGAGAATATATTGTGCGAGGAGGTCGATGATGCGTTGATGACTTCTTTACAAATTATGTTCTCCTAATAACGCAAACGTGAAAATTTTCGAAAATTCGTTTCTTATAATTTATAGTATCAGGAGAATATATTTTGCGAGGAGGTCGATGATGCGTTGATGACCTCTTTACAAATCATGTTCTCCTAATAACGCAAGCATGAAAATGTTCGAAAATTCGTTTTTTATTATTTTATATTATCAGGAGAATATATTGTGCGAGTAGGTCGATGATGCGTTGATGACCTCTTTCCAAATCCTGTTCTCCTAATAACGCAAGCGCGAAAATTTTCGAAAATTCGTTTCTTATAATTTATATTATCAGGAGAATATATTGTGCGAGGAGGTCGATGATGAGTTGATGACCTCTTTACAAATCCTGTTCTCCTAATAATGCAAACGTGAAAATTTTCGAAAATTCGTTTCTTATAATTTATATGATCAGGAGAATATATTGTGCGAGGAGGTCGATGATGCGTTGATGACTTCTTTACAAATCATGTTCTCCTAATAACGCAAACGTGAAAATTTTCGAAAATTCGTTTCTTATAATTTATAGTATCAGGAGAATATATTTTGCGAGGAGGTCGATGATGCGTTGATGACCTCTTTACAAATCATGTTCTCCTAATAACGCAAGCGTGAAAATTTTCGATAATTCGTTTCTTATTATTTTATATTATCAGGAGAATATATTGTGCGAGGAGGTCGATGATGCGTTGATGACTTCTTTACAAATCATGTTCTCCTAATAACGCAAACGTGAAAATTTTCGAAAATTCGTTTCTTATAATTTATATTATCAGGAGAATATATTGTGCGAGGAGGTCGATGATGAGTTGATGACCTCTTTACAAATCCTGTTCTCCTAATAATGCAAACGTGAAAATTTTCGAAAATTCGTTTCTTATAATTTATATGATCAGGAGAATATATTGTGCGAGGAGGTCGATGATGCGTTGATGACTTCTTTACAAATTATGTTCTCCTAATAACGCAAACGTGAAAATTTTCGAAAATTCGTTTCTTATAATTTATAGTATCAGGAGAATATATTTTGCGAGGAGGTCGATGATGCGTTGATGACCTCTTTACAAATCATGTTCTCCTAATAACGCAAGCATGAAAATGTTCGAAAATTCGTTTTTTATTATTTTATATTATCAGGAGAATATATTGTGCGAGTAGGTCGATGATGCGTTGATGACCTCTTTACAAATCCTGTTCTCCTAATAACGCAAGCGCGAAAATTTTCGAAAATTCGTTTCTTATAATTTATATTATCAGGAGAATATATTGTGCGAGGAGGTCGATGATGAGTTGATGACCTCTTTACAAATCCTGTTCTCCTAATAATGCAAACGTGAAAATTTTCGAAAATTCGTTTCTTATAATTTATATGATCAGGAGAATATATTGTGCGAGGAGGTCGATGATGCGTTGATGACTTCTTTACAAATCATGTTCTCCTAATAACGCAAACGTGAAAATTTTCGAAAATTCGTTTCTTATAATTTATAGTATCAGGAGAATATATTTTGCGAGGAGGTCGATGATGCGTTGATGACCTCTTTACAAATCATGTTCTCCTAATAACGCAAGCGTGAAAATTTTCGATAATTCGTTTCTTATTATTTTATATTATCAGGAGAATATATTTTGCGAGGAGGTCGATAATGCGTTGATGACCTCTTTACAAATCATGTTCTCCTAATAACGCAAGCGTGAAAATGTTCGAAAATTCGTTTCTTATTATTTTATATTATCAGGAGAATATATTTTGTGAGGAGGTCGATGATACGTTGATGACCTCTTTACAAATCATGTTCTTCTAATAACGCAAGCGTGAAAATTTTCGAAAATTCGTTTCTTATTATTTTATATTATCTGGAGAATATATTTTGCGAGGAGGTCGATGATGCGTTGATGACCTCTTTACAAATCATGTTCTTCTAGTAACGCAAGCGTGAACATTTTCGAAAATTCGTTTCTTATTATTTTATATTATCAGGAGAATATATTTCGCGAGGAGATCGAAGATGCGTTGATGACCTCTTTACAAATCATGTTCTCCTAATAACGCAAGCGTGAAAATTTTCGAAAATTCGTTTCTTATTATTTTATATTATCAGGAGAATATATTTCGCGAGGAGGTCGAAGATGCGTTGATGACCTTTTTACAAATCATGTTCTCCTAATAACGCAAGCGTGAAAATTTTCGAAAATTCGTTTCTTATTATTTTATATTATCAGGAGAATATATTTTGCGAGGAGGTCGATAATGCGTTGATGATCTCTTTACAAATCATGTTCTCCTAATAACGCATTTAAAAAAAAAAAAAAAAAAAAATTTCGCTAACAATTAATGTTCGAAATAATTTACGCATTGCCATCCGCGTTTTGTGGGCTCTTAATGCTCTTTACTTAATTATCATGTTGATAAATACATAGAGCCGTATTATTTACCAATTTATTTTGAAAAATATTTATTTCATCTTTGAATATTACAGTATCTGTCGCGATTGAATAATTTATTTATTTTCAATTTACACACATAAGTATTTAATTGTTATATACCACTGGTGCTACCGGCATTTCGTGCACATAGCACGGAACAAATCCAGAAATTGTGCAATTATATATTACCCTCTGAGAACATTCATGGACTTTGACTTTATAGTTCATGTCCATGTTTTGAATGTCTATAGAGGGAGTATCACTTTTGGGGTCACTTCATAGCTTGGACATGAACCATAGCTCAGACACGAACCATGTATTATTATCGACTGTAATGGATGTAGTTGACGTCCACTTTGTCAGGGAGCGCATTAGGACAATATACCCGTTAAAGCGAGGTGGCCGCTCTCAGGTTTCTCTATGGTTTAGAGAGTTTATTGTGTTTTCTCTCATCTATGTGTTAATTGTATATTCTATGGTATAACTTGAAGGTTCTGTTTTCAGGACGTTGTTGCCACAGATTGCTACGGGAGGTTATATTTGTTTGTACACGTGTTGGAACCGTCTCGCGTAAAAGAGAATGGCTGGAAAAAATTTCGTTGATGAAATAAATGCCTTCTTTACGCAAAAATCGGATTTTAACTCCGATGAAGAACCGGAAGAGACAAAGGCGAAGGTGGTGGAATATTACGACAAGGACGATGTCTCAGAAGACGAGTTTCGACAATCTAAAATTCGCACACAAAATATTGATACCTTGGACGAAGTGGATGAAAGGTAAAGATATTTTATCTTTGTGCAGATTAGTCTCTTGGTAAAATTTTGGCTGATGGGATGTTATATGATTTATTCACACTATTGATTTATTGTTAAAACAGATATGCTGGTAAAAAAGTCTCGAGGAAAGATATATATAACGATGAGGATGTTATGAGTGAAGATGAGATGGAGAGTGAAACCTCTGAAAACTCTGAAAACTCTGAGGAATACGTGAAAGATGAAGAGGTGGAAAGTACATTAGAACAAAGCGAAGATGAATTTGACAACGATGAAGAAGAAGAAGATTTTCAGGACTCTCAAGATGCTGAAAGTATGTCTAATACAGAAGAACAAGATGAGCATGATATGGATATAGACAATTCGCTTAACAATCAGAAAGAATCTACTATTAAAACCATGTCTGAAACAAATGTTAAGGCAGAAATAGAAAAAGGCAATTGTATCAGGAACCAGCTTAAGTTTTGGGAAAATTTACTAGAGATGCGAATAAAATTGCAAAAGTGTGTTATAATTAGTAATCAAATGCCACAGTATGATATACATAAGAAACTTAGGTCAGATACAGAGTTTATGAAAAATACCAACGAGATTACAACTAAATTGTTATTAAGCTTAAATAACATGTTGCAATTGAGGGATCTCTTGTTAAAACAATATCCTGAAACGAAAAATCTGTGTGTCAGTTCCAAGAAAAGGAAAACCGGCAAAGACGAAAATACAAATTCAAATGATCCAATGGATGAAGAAATACCTTCTGATATAGAAGATACATTAGAAAAAGAATCATCTATCGACGAAGACATGGAAACGGAAGAACCAGTACCTCGAAAACGTCTTAAATACAATGATTGTGAAAAAGTTTTGCAAGAAAATCATGATTCCTATAGAGAATATAGAGATTCTATAATAAAGAAGTGGAATGACAAAACACGGATTGCTACAGGTTCACTGAATAAAGGTTCGAGTCAGACTACACTTAAACAAATTGAATTTGCCATGAGCGACATAAGCAAATTACGAAAGAAAACTCAATTAAAACGCTCTGAATATAACATCGTTGGTAAAGCTTTATCAAATGAAGATAGCGATGGTAGAAGAATTCAAGAATATGATCCGGAAATTTATGATGACGATGATTTCTATCATCAGCTGTTAAGGGACTTGATAGAGTATAAATCATCTGATGTGACAGATCCTGTACAACTCAGTAATCAATGGATCCAATTGCAAAACATGCGTAAAAAGATGAAGGTGAAAGTCGATACTCGCGCGACGAAGGGTCGGAGAGTGCGGTATAATATTCACAATAAATTAGTCAATTTTATGGCACCTGTCACAGTGTACGATACATGGACGGATAGTGCGAAGAACGAATTGTACAATTCATTATTCGGTAAAATAAAACCAACGGAAGACCAAATAAAGCAGTAATGAAAATTATGAAAATCTAAATTATTAAGTCATAATTTTACCTTTGTAATATACAAAAATTTATACAATATATATATTGACAAATAGATTTCTCAATCTATCCGTTCCATGATGTAATCGGAATAATCTAATTACTATTTTTTTAAATACAAAAATGTATTCTTATATCGACAATAACTTTATACTTCTTTAATAAATTTGAGTGTCTATATTTTTAAATAGTATTAATATTTCGAATCATTAATATAGTTTAAATTCTTTTATTGTAAAATAAATTATGTTGTTAATATCGTGAATCAATTTTCTTATGATTATAGAATTTTGATTTCGGCTTTATTAAGCTAATTTATTGAAATAAATTAAATAAATTGAAATTTGACTCAAATAATAATTAAAAATCGAAATTGGCAAATTAGAGCCATAGCGCGGTAGTTGAAGCGCAGGGAAGAAATAACACTTCCTTCTTCCTGATTAATTGTACAGTTCAAATTAAAAGTGGTTATATGAACCAAAAATGAGTAGTTACATTAAAAAAACGAATGTTTCAGATCTTTTGATCCCTCTTCAATGCGATGTCAACAAAATGTATTACAGAGTGTTTAGGAGATGATACATTAAAACCACGCTGTAATCCTAATTTGCCAATTTCGTTTTAATTTTTAATTAATTTATTGAGTTAATCAATAGAAAATTTTAATTATAATTAATAAAATTGGGATAAAAAAGAGAATGCAATTTTTAAAAGATGCTGTAATGTATGATAATATTTGTTTAATTTTATAAATATTGTATATACTGTGGAGTATTATATAAATGATACGAATGTTAATTAGCACAGTTCAATAATATAGCGTAAAATTTTTGTAATAAAACAGATATATATACTATATAAAAGTATGTTATATCTATTGGATTTTTAAGTAAATATCAAATCATAAAATTTAATGTAATATACAATTACTTTATATAAAATATATTTTATCTTATTTCAGGCTCGTCTATATAATCCTATTTAGACTTTTAAGAATATATATGAAAAAACAACTAGAACTTTATCAAAAATATTTCTGCAAAAGATAAATATATATTAAAAAAATATAGTATCAAAAAAAGATTAGAGTTATATATATCTCGAGATTTATATTTTTTATCAAAGATTTCTATTATAAATAAAAATTATTTGAGATGCGTGTTTTATTGTGATATAAAATATCTATTTTTAAAAATATGTATATTTTATGTATTTTCACACGTTCATTGTGTTTCTAAGTTACTAAAAGACTGCGATTAACTATCATCAACTTTTGTCGTCTCAATTCTATCATTTAAACCTATGACCTCATTCTACTTTATTATGTAGCATAAATGTGATATCACCATGTGATACTTACATGACAATGTGATATCAAAGTAACTAGGGACAAAGATTGTTCCGAAAAGCGTATATTATTCCTGGCATTCGCAAAAGATCTTAAACTAATTAGATTTTAATAAGACTTTGTGTATATACGAAATAAATTTAGTAATTTTTTATTTAATGCGAAAAATCAATTTATATAATTATATAAGATATCAATAATAGGATATCAATTTTATATTACATAGGATTATATACATTTCAATTTGATTAATGCAACTCAAAAACAACATTTCAGACGTTTCATGGATTTTTTTATTATGGAAAATTCTTATGAAAAGTGAAATATTTGTATTTGAAGTACTTGCCAATAATCAAAAGAATGTATCGGTTAGTATGGCGATGATAAATAAGAAACAGAGCAGACAGTTTATTCTCGTGTGTTTATATCCAAATTAGTCACAGGATTAATTATTAAGAATAATTATAGAGAAATAATGGATAAAGGGAATATCGATATATCTTTTGTCTATAATAATTATTACATCTTTAATAATTATGTTTAAATGATTAACGAGAAATCGTATATAATGTCATATGTATAAACGTTCACGAATATAAAAATCATGATGACAATACCAAGGCAAATTAAATTATTTTTTATTTAAAAAAATAATAAAATGTTTTTATTTTTATCTCGAATTACATGTAATTATCTCTTAAATATCGTTAGAAAACTGTAGATAAGAACAACTTAAGAATATAAGAACAAGTTATTACGATTATCGATTTATTAACCGATTAGTTATATTATTATACATTTAACGTTTAAAATGAAGATTTTTGAAATATTGATTACTTATGCTATAAATTATATGAACATAATGTAATATCACTGTTACATTATACTTTATATATTCATGTTGCATTTTAATCATAATTCTTATATAGCACTTATTCCTATATCGCGTATTTTAATTAAATCATACTCTCTCTTTTGCACTTTCTTGTGTAAAAATTTTGCTTTATTTTTAAGTTGGTATGTCCTGCGATTTATATCGATTCAATCAATTGAATCGATTCATCAATTATAAAATTATATTAATCTAGTGATGCATACTTGATCAAATGATTCAAAACACAAAAATTTATAGATGATCCCACGTGCATTCATGATTCATGTGCGTGAAAGTATAGTAAAAGAAAACATCGGGTTATCTTCTCTCTTTTATTATAATTAATGGCTAATTTACAATATCTCTCTGTCAATATTTCCATCGCAAAGATTTATATTACAAAATGCTGAGATAAAAAGAAAAATAGAAAGAGATATATAAAAAATAAAAATTTTGAGTGTTATTAGAATCGATATACAAACGAAAGCGAAGCTGTTAGACAAACTCAATTAACGAAGTTAATCTATCAAACTAAAATTTGACTGCTAATTTAAACATAATGTCAGTGTTCGAACGATATTCTTTAATAATATCCATAAAGAAATTTCGATCCTGTACTAACTAACACTAACATACTGAGGGAATTAATCTCGAGACCACCCAATGAGATGTATGTAATATATTGGCATGCAATTTTTCAGACTCACGATCATTGAAACAAAATTGATTTTAATGAGCTCGTTATATAAGATCACGACCCAGCAAACACCAAGTAACAGTTATATAACTGTTACTTGGTGTTTGCTGGGGAGACATTGCAATTATCAAGCAGAATAAAAAACATAGGATGAACTATTAAGTTTAACAAGATGTCACTGTTTCTTATAAGTGATTATTACAATATAAAAGCGAAATAAACTTTATTATTTATCTTAGAACCTAAAGGAAAAAAATAAATTACTAAAAGAAAATAAATTACTTTTTGTAAATAAGATATTTTTTTATCCTGATACAGATTTTTAATTTATATTATAATATTGTAAAAACGAAAAATTAAACACATACACATGTACTAAATTTGCTACAGGAATTTCGCTTTGTGGATGATTTTAAATTTCAATCTTATTTTAAGCAAAATAGAAAAACACATGTACTTATAATTAATAAATCATTTGAATAATAAGTTATTTATATAGACATTTTTTATATATAAATATATATGATTATATATAATTTTATCTCTTCCTCTTCATGTTATAAAATTTTGCATTTTACGAAGACAATAATTATTTAATTAAACAACACGTCCTTAATTGTCGAAAAAAATAAGTAAGAACTTGATCATAGAATTAATTTTGACGTAATTTATTACAATGTTATGTACTGTCCTCGATACGTCCTATCAGTGGCGATTTGACACTTGACCTTTGTCGCCGATCTAAGTGTCTGCGTCGGTGGATAAACTTTCCCGCCGAATCCACAGTTCCTTGTCGTTCATCGGGTGTTTAATCATACCGAATTCCGTCATCGATCACGTGTAGATCGCGTTTTTCTTTGACATTTCGTGAAATTTATACTGTTCACGCGTACAATATTTCGGCGTAAAAGGTGAATGATAGATAAGTCTGCTTTTTTTTTTATGTCTCGCCATGATACGAGATTTTTTCCTCGATGTTTTGGCAAGCGATATGCCAGTATACGCAACGAGAAAACAGATTGAAGACATACATGTGGAGATAATTCGCGATCGCTTCAGGAATCCACGCGCCAAGTGACGCGCGGAAGAATCACTCGCGAAAACAATTAAGTGAGAAAAGTTCGCGTTTTCACGCGTAAATCACATGGTACTTTTGCTCTTCAAGATGCATTCGGAGATAATTCATATTGACACAAAGCGTGTTTATTGATCTTTAAGTGTGGACGACTCGATCTATTTCTAGTTCTAATCATAACTGAGATTGCAAATCACTATTTTATCTAATATTTGGAAAACATCGAGAATTAGCGGATATCAAGAATAAGTGAACTCGAAATATATCGAGATTCGAACTACGAGATTACGCATCGATAAAAAATTGTTTATTGAATTAAAATTATATCCTTTTCTTTCCATCGGGAGAATTTACGATTTATGTATGTGCAACTTTTCCTTTCAAATTTCGTCTCTTTCTTAAAAATTTCATCGTGGAGAGCTTAATTCATTCGCACGAAGTGAATCAAAAAGCGATCACGTCAGAATGCGAGTCTTGTTGATCGTCGGGCTAATCATCTGCGTTGTCGATGGTAGCATCATACCAGATGAAGGTAAGGATTTCGATTCAACTGAAAAATATTTTTCCGATTTTAACGTCACGAAGTACTTTGCATTACTTCTCAAATTCATGCCCACACATTCCCCCTTTTTATTAATTAACATAAACGTATACATTTGCAGGAATAAAAGATTTTTCCCAATTTTCTTTTTCATTTATCCAATAATCTAAATATCGATTTAGGATTTTATAACATTTAATACCATAGCTATTATTACTGCTATTACTTTTTTTCGATTTAAATACGTTTGCTCTATCGAAGACTATTTCCGGTTCGATGCTACAAGAAACTTGGTAGCAACGCGAGATTGATGACTAATACATAATATGGTCATTTTTTGTCTTGTTTATATCGTATCAACAATGTGTAGATACAGTAAAAGTGAGACATTTTTCCACCATGTCAATATTGATTGAAATTTCTATTCAATATTAATTCTTATATTTGAAATCCATTTTCATCATCCATTATTCAATGTATATGATATTTTTTTATATTATTCTATTTATAATATTTTTTTATTTTATTTCGATAGCCTTAACTGCGAGACTGCAAGATGTATGGAACGAAGATGAATTTATCGCCTTGTCCAATATCAAAGCCGAGAAGAAATCTGATGCGAGCAATTCGATCGAGACTCTATGGGCCTATTTGGGCGCACCTATTATGAAAACCTGTAAGGAAACAGATATAAAATATAAACAGAAAACCAAAATAATGCTTATATTCGATTATTGACGAACAAAGCGAAGAGGCCAATTCCTCAGGATTTCCCTAATTTTTCACATCACGAAACGTTGATTCCCGTTTCAGTTATACTTTATACAGAGAGCCTCGACGAAAGTAGCCAACGCAACGCCGTACACATCAACGTAGATTTCTTCGCTGTGAATACGCCTCTGAAGAGCCTGATTATCCTGGTACACCAAACTGGTGGACCAACTTGAATTAACTCTCGCGTGGATGTGTACGTCAATTGCATCTATGAGGATTCCATATCTCTCAAGAAAACTTTCCGCGATATAGCCGAGAACCCGTCCATAGAAGTGGTAAGAGTCTGAAACATTTATCGTTAGATTAATATTCTTAAATAATATATTTAGATGATATGTATTTTTCTACATTGTGTCAGTGTATTTTATTTGCGTTGGTTAAGGAAATTGAAAGAGTACAAACGCGAATATATCGCTTTGAAGTCGCTCCTCGAGCGTTGAATCTAAAATCTCTGCACCCACATCTTTTTACTTTTCCGTTCTGCTCGATACTATTTTCCACTGTCGCTTTATTTCCTCGCTTTTACGATTTTACGACGATTTTTTATTTACGTGCTGTTCGTGACGTCCGCAAATGTGGGACGACGTCTTTCGAAATGGTTAGCGAGGAGCAACCTAAGCTAGTTGCTGCTTCTATTACGCACATCTGGCTGGTTTATCCAACCCAAACACAACAATTCCTGATTACTTGGATGAACTAAATTCGTTTCAATTAATTACTCGTGCCCTATTTCTGTTACTTGCGTTATCGACTTTAAAAATATTATAATATGTATCATGTAAAACTTTTAATAAATATACTCACTTATTTAACTGAATAACTTATTTGATTGAAATTTATTGGATTGAAACTAATATTTATTTATTAATAAACATAATATTTTAAAATCTTTTTAGTTCAGAGAACGAAGATACCGGGCAAAAGTGTATCAATCCAACATCTTCAATGCGTTAAAGAAGGACGAGAATCTGTTCCGGAAATCGTTATGAAGCAGCTTTCGATATTCGAAAATACAAAATAACCAGACTGCACGAAAACTTATTCTATCGATTTCAATGGATATGATCAAACAAAGAAACCTACTGATCGATCTGACGAGATTGATGATAGCAACGGAATCACCAGCGAATCGGACAGGTCGAATCAGAATAACGATTCTGTACCGTCCACTGATCAAAACGACACAAAATGTCTCAAACATCATTTGAACAACAAAAAATCTCCCAGTAAGAAAGATCAGTACACTCATTCGAATGATTGGCAGAAAAAGAAGAATTCGCGACGTCCAGGAAGCAATAATAAACGTGATAAATATGATCCAGACGACTCTTCTGATTCATTTTCATCGGGTGAGACAGATAATCTTGAACCAGGATCGCTTTCTTCACCATTTATTTACACAGTCGTTTTATCATAATACGTATTGCGATACTGTCATTTGCTGCAAGCAATTCTAATATAAACAAACCAGAAAAATTAAATTAGAAAATAGTGAAATTAATTCTTTACAAAATAATTCAGAAAAATTAAATAAAAGCAAAAGAGGATTTGATCTTCAACTTGACCCCAGTCCTAGATTTAAAAAACAAATGGCATTTATAGGTGGAGGTACTCTTGCAGTTACCATTGGTAGTACTATTGTTGCTAGCGCGGCTTGTAGTTTTATTCCTATAATAGGAACTGCTGCTTGGCTGGTGGTGCTGCATTGGGTGGATTTATTGGTGGAGGCCTTATATCTACGTCAATTGCAAGTACAGTTTAAATTAAAAAGGTGGGAATAATATTAAATTTATTCCCATTTTTATATTTCAATAACAAGATATAATAAATAAAATTAGAAGAGAGTAAAAAAATAGTAAAAACTAATAAGTATTTTAAAGCAATAAGTTTAATCACAACTGGAATAGCAATTTAACTGCATATGGCAATAATTCAGCAACTGATGCTTTAGCATCAGAAAAAATAACATAATTAAAAGAACAAAATAAAATAATTATAAATGGTAATACTTTAGAAATGAATAGACATAAGGAAAACCATTTAATAATAGTTAATAAGTGATATTTTGTAGTATGACGGGGTAATAAAAAGGAAAAATGATCTATGTTAAATTTCAAAATGATATTCAAATAAATAAAGATAAATTAATTCAATATAAGGATTATGCATTTATCTTGAGCAGTTAATAGTTTAGATTTAACTATAAATATTTCAATGGCTAGTAATACTTGGTATTGAAAATTAGATAAAAATGAAAGATTTAAAGTTATCTATTGTTGAAAAAATGAGGAAATTTACGGAAATGAGAATAGTTTAAGACTGGTTGAGAATAGTCTAAGACTTTTTCTTTTCTTTTAACAAGATTATTAATTTTATAAATATATAAAGTTCTAGCAAAAATACATAGAAAAAGAGAGATATATAAAAAATAGAAATTTCGAGTGCTCTAATAGAATCGATTCATAAATGAAAGCAAAGCTATTAGACAATCAATTAATGAAGTTAATCTATCAGGCTGAAATTTGATTGCTAATTTAAACAGAATTGCCAGTGATCGAACGATATTATTTAACAATATCCTCAAAGAAACTTCCATCCTCTGAACATTAACATACTGAAGGAATTAATCTCCAGACCACCCAATGAGATGTAGGTAATATATTCGCATGCAATTTTTCAGACTCACAATTATTGAAGCGAAATTAATTTTAAGGAGTTCGTTATGTAAGATCACGAGACATTATCAAGTAGAATAAAAAACGTATAAAGTGAACTATTGGTCTTAACAAGATATCACTGTTTGTTAAGTGATTACTACAATATAAACAAAATAAACTTTAGCGTTTATTTTGACGCCTAAACGAAAATAAAAGAAAATCAATTACTCCTCTTCTTACAAATAAGATATTTTTTTTATTCCAATACACATATTTAATATATTATATAATATAATATTGTAAAAATGAAAAATTAAACATGTACACATGTATATATTAAATCGGCTACAGGAATTTCACTCTATGAAACATTTTAAATTTTGATTTTATTTTAAGAAAATTTTAAGTTGTATAAGAAAATTTATACAAAAACACACATGCACATATAATTAATAAATCATTTAGATATTAAGTTATCTATATAGACATATTTTTCCTCTTCATGTTATAAAATTTTTGAATTTTATGAAAACAATAATTAATTAAACACCACGTCTTTAATTGTCGAAAAAGATAAGTAAAAACTTGATCATAGAATTAATTTCGAAATAATTTACTACAGTGTTAATCTTATATTTCTTATATTATAGCTTTAAAAAATATGTGTATCTTTAATCTTTACATAAAATTTTTAAGGAGAAAGTTATTTATGCATAAATTTAAGAGATATTTATACATAAAAATTTTATGTTGTTTTTACCCATTCCTAATATTGAGTATAATGTACGAGAATCTATCTTTTGTCTCCGCTCCATCTTTAGAAAATGATAGTGACAGAGAATCAATTCAATTGTAATATAACGACATACATCCGCAGATATTTTCGTCTTTCTAAATAGACGTCCAAGATCCAAGGCTCGAAGACTCTCGTACGCGTGCGGTTCATTCACATTAATTTCGGCTTCCGCTATAAATCTTCGCTCACATTCCGGATGTGTGCTCGATTGACGGCACTGTCCCCAACACGTTAGTCCTATCAGCGGCGATTTGACACTTGACCCTTGACGCCAGTCTAAGTGTCTGCGTCGGCGGATAAATCGCGAACCGTCCCGCGGAATCCGCAGTCCCTCGTCGTTCATCGGACGCTTAATTATACTCGCGCCGCACCGAATTCCGTCACCGATCACGTGTAGATCGCGTCCCCCTTTGGCATTTCGTGAAATACTGCTCACGCGTGCGATGTTTCGGCGTAGAAGGTGAATGATAGATAAGTCTGCTTTTTTTTTGTGTCTCGCTGCGATACGAGATTTTTTTCCCTCGATGTTTTGTCGAGCGATATGTGCCAGTATACGCAACGAGAAAACAGATTGAAGACATACATGTGGAGATAATTCGCGATCGCTCCGGAATTCACGCGCCAAGTGACGCGCGAAAGGATCACTCGCGATTAAGTGACAAAAGTTCACGTTTTCACGCGTAAAGCACGCGGTTCTTTTTCTCTTCAAGGTCTATCCGCAAATGATTCGCTCTGAACATAAAACGTGTTGATTCATCTTCAAGTGTGGACGACTCGACCTACTTCTGGTTCCGATCATAGCTGAGATATTGCAATTCACTATTTTATTATTAATTTATAATTTGGAAAACATCAAGAATTAGCGGATATCAAGAATAAGTATACTTCAAACATCGAGATTCGGACTACGAGATTACGCATTGAGTAAGGAATTTTTTATTGAATTCAAATTATATCCTTTTCTTTCCATCGAAAGAATCTATGATTTATATGCAACTTTTCTTTCAATTCTTTTTTTAATTTTTAATTTATAATTATTTCCAACAAACAGAAAATAAGTATATTTGTTAGGAAACATTTTCCTTTTTTATTTGCTAGAAATAAAAGCTAAAAATATTTCTAAAGAAAATTGAAAAAAGCAGTCATAAATCGTATTTATATTGTATAAAAAAAGTTATCTAACATCATCCCCCTTGTCAAGAATAATTGATCGATGTCGTTGCTATCAACGTTTCATATCAGTTATTCAGTATTTGCGGAAATATATAATAGCGAGTTATTTACATAGATATATATATTTTTAATTTCAATTTCGAGATATTGAAAAATTAATTTTATATCGAATGTTTTAAATTTGTTTACAATAATTATAAATATATTTCTAATTTCTAATTATATTTTTAATCGTGCGCTTGTTCAATTCTAAATACATTAATCAGGTTTTATTGGACAAATTGCATTATATCGATATGTCGATAATAAGCACAAGCGAGGGAGGATTCTTAATTGAACCATATCAACAATTCTATTCGATAGAATCATATCCTGCGAGCGATTACGTCATATAGACAATCCTGTACAAATTAATCAATATTTTTTAGTTTTGTCACGAATTATGTATTAAAACATAATATGCGTCTTTGCATTATTATTACATAATTTCATTCTCAAAGAGGCTTTTGATTTTAATCTAATCTAAGTGTGTTATTGGATGAAAACATGGTAGTTTGTTTGCAAAATAATTGCGTAAAATTTGTTTGGCCAAAATGAGATAAATCAGTGTCGTATCGACTTCGTCTGCGCATTCGTCTGCATTATATTGTGGAAATAACGAGAACCTAGATAAGGATCACGACAATTATTGATTCGTCGTTGAAGAAAATTATTTTCCCCTGACATATATGTTGAAATCTTTTATCGGACCTTTTATACGTCGAGAAGACTTTCTGCGTTTTAAGTTATTCGATTCTTAGCAATTTCTCCCAAATTTATTTGCATGATCCATAATACAAACTTTTGTATTTGTTGCTGTTTAGAAAAATAAGATGATATTACGCTTAATACTGTTTTGCAACTATCTTCCTACATTTATCCGCAATATATTATTGATAATAAATTAATGCTACAAATATCTGTATCGCTCAAATCCCGAAAAATCATATCGAACTACGATAGAATAAGGCGAATTGAAGAAAAACAGCTCATTAGTGTGATATCTTAACGTGTTCCCCCGATGATGCACTTTGCGCTTCGGGGCCGAAGTTTAGTTTCGTGTCTCTGGCGCGTGTTTAGCACATGATGCGGATTTGGTACTTTGAACGCAATCTACATTCTTGATATTTAATATTAAGATCCTCGCACAGTAATATTGCGAGGGATGCATCTCGTAATCTCTCGCCATATATCTGTTGTTTTCCTCTTTGCGTTTCACTCGGTGAAAAAGTGTCGTGCAAATTGTAGTCACTTCTCGGAGCAGACTTCTTCATAATACATAGTTACAAAAGGTTGTAGACTAATTGGAGCCTCGATATCTCCTGCGATACGAACCTGCGCTGAACAGGCCTCGCCAGGTCAGGAGAAAGTAAACCGAATCAGTATCACAACGCACCCCGCACGACGAGGGTTGATTGTCCATCAATAGTGCGCAGAGACGAAGCGAGTGAATCTCTCGATTCGGCGAAGATCATCTTGAAATATATAATAATATTTTGGCCTCGGTACGCTCTGTATAGTTCATCTACAGTGTTCTCATCATAAACTCCAATAAATTCGATTCCATTCCAGAAGAGAGTTTAATTTATTCTGTAAGATCAAAAAATTTAAACGCTTTATGAAATATTATGATACTCTCTCACACATGTATAAGTCTTTCTCTCTTTATAATATTTTCTATAATATTTTCTTCTATAAAATTTTCTTTTTTTAAACATTTTCTTCATGCCAAGTATTTTCTAGAAAATATACACACGTAAAAATTAAAAGACTGAAAGATTCTTGTAACGCATTCCATTTTTTCCAGCTGCCAACAATCAATATACAAAAATTTCTTTAAAATTTTTCTTAAACATAATTTATAGAAAATTAAAATAAGAAAAGGCTTCGGGCCGACAAACGCACGTTCGATCGTTTCTTTATGCGTTTAAATTTGTAACCGTTATTTAGGTTCTCATGACTTCCTTTGTTTCATGCTTAGCGTTTATTTTTATAATTTTGTATGACATCGAAAAGGATCTGTAGAAGATCGAAACGTGCGTTTGTCTCTTAAAATGTATTCAATAATTTTGTGCTCTGATAGATTTTCCTATTAAATTTACTTTTCAACCTTAGTGGTTTGTCTTTGCAGTTTTAACTTTTTTTAGTTATTTCGTACCACCACCCTACGTCACGGCCCGAAGCCTTTTTTTATTTTAATTTTGTATTATTACTATAAACGGACCGTTAACATCTCTAATTTTTTTAATTTTTATAATTTATAGATTTTTTACGATTTGCTTTTTAATTGCGTTTATATATAATTGCCCACGCATCTAATTGAATCGAAAGCCGTACTTAAGTATAACGTAATCACTCGGACCTTCCTCTCACTATGTTTAAAGGCCAAGTTGTTAACCATAAATAAATCATTCATCAGCCTGGCAAATATTTGTATCAAATTGAATCGAATTTTGTATTTTCAATGCAACGCAACCCTTTGAAGGTGGCTGCTAGGTTTAAAGACCAAATCGCTTACCACAAATAAATAGACTGACAAACACTTGACGATGTATTTCTCCGCGAATTGTTACATGTTCCGTTGAAACGCCTCGCGAACATACTAGATTCATTGTTCTGATCTATTGTTTCCTAAACTTTCGGAGCTAAAAGTACGAATGTGAGGTATCTCGAATGAATGCGCATCGCAATCAGACATATTCTCATTCTTCGAGATTTTCTTCCGCCTTTTCTAAATTTTAGACAAAGATAAGAAGAAAATTTAATTAATTCAATATAATTGAAGCAGAGAAATAGTTGCGTTGCAAAAAATGCTTGTTTTTATGGAATCTAATGCGATGATTGCAGATGAAATAATAAGCTCATCCTCAACGACATGCAGAACGCGATACAGTTAAGCGAAGTCGAAAGTGAGGAGAGCCTCAAGTGCAATGACACAATGGAATTGCCGGATGACTTGCGATTCAATTCTGGTCACCTTGTGACAATAGTCACTTACAGTATCTTAATGGTAATATCGGCCGCTGGGAATATTACCGTGCTAATAATGACTATAATAAAGAAGCGAAAATCCAAGTCTCGTATACACATCCTCATAATGCACTTGTCAATCGCTGATCTTCTTGTAAGTATTTAAATTGATACTATTAACTTATTAAGTAATTGTTGTTGGTCATCGATAAAAACGCATTCGCGGGGGAAGAAATTGAACATAAAATTTTATCAAATTTAATTATTAGGTGACATTCTTAATGATGCCACTTGAAATAGGATGGTCGATAACAGTATCGTGGGAAGCCGGAGACGCGATGTGCCGTATAATGGCTTTCTTCAGGATGTTCGGCCTATACCTTTCATCCTTTGTAATAGTTTGCATAAGTATAGACAGGTCAGCATGTAATGATTTCGATAAACCGAATATTTTATATGATACGCGTGCGACAAATTTCTCTTCTCTCGCGTTGATCATGATATATCCAAATAAATGATACATGTAATAATATATAGACTGCAAACGCGGTTATGGTGCATTTGAGATCTTATAATTGCATTTAGAATATATCTTACGTGTAACGTAACGTTACAGGTATTACGCTGTGAAGCGGCCTCTTCAGATACTGGACGTTTACAGGAGAGGAAAAATAATGCTGATGCTCGCGTGGGTTGGCTCCGTGTTGTGTTCGTTGCCGCAGGTGCCCTAACTTGCACATATTGCTCACGATTTCTCGCTTTCATTATTCGGCAAATTTAAGCACATAACATTCTTTGGTCTCCAGATGTTGGTATTTCATGTCGGGACTCATCCAAATTATACTTGTTTTACCGACTGCATAACTTTCAACTTTTTCCCATCGCACCTGCACGAAATTTCCTATACTTTATTCGGCATGTTGATGATGTATTGGTTCCCTCTCTTCGTAATACTGTACACTTATAGCAGTATTTTTATGGAGATTTGCCGTCGATCCCAAGAGAAGAATGAAGGTACGTCCGATATGATTTACCGCGCTATGAAAATTATTCATACATGAAACATATTTTACACTCTCACTCATAAATACACATACACACACAATGTTACATTATTTCTTATTTTGTTAGTAAAGTTCCCTATATCATGTTATTTAATGCTCGGTAACAAAGTAAAGCGATTAATCAACAGACGCTTCTCTCGCAGATAAAATACGTCGTTCTTCGAGCGGTTTTCTGAGTCGAGCGCGAATACGCACTTTAAAAATGACGATAACCATTATCGCCGTATTTCTTATCTGTTGGACTCCTTATTATGTGATGAGCGTTTGGTGAGTGACTATTTTTCAATTTCCACATAATCTTTTTCTTTCGTCGCTAACTAGAAATCACATTCCGCAAAGTCAGCAAAATCAACCGAGTCGATTATGCAGACGCAAAAATACTGATTTTCGCGACCAATGTTCATGGTCACAGATAGACTTATGCAAATTCAGCTCTATTAAAAGAAAAAAAATGATGATAATAATAATAAGATTCCAGTAAATTTTTTACTTGAAAAATTCGCTGGTAATTTGCGATTATTGTTGAATGTAAATAGGTACTGGTTGGATCAACCATCAGCCCAGAAAGTCGACAAGCACATTCAGAGAGTCCTCTTTTTTTTCGCGTGCACCAATTCCAGCATGAATCCCATCATCTACGGTATTTTTAACATACGTCAAAAAAACAAAGTAAGTATTTATTATCCGAAACAAACAGTATGCATGTGTGATATCAACTCTCGTAAATTTTCTTCTTAAAGATTTTTTCTAAAATAATTACCATTATAATTATTTTGCTTTTTCTTCATTTTTTATTGATTTTAATTAATAATTTTTATAAATTTGTTCAAATTATGCAGGCGAGAGAGAAAAAGAAAGAGACAAAGCTTTGCATAATAAGCTTTCAATATACATAACGATTTTACTCTAATAAAAATTATAGTCAATCGAAGCGTGAAATAGAACTCGATACAAGACGAATTCGTATAATCATTTTGTTAACACGATTATCTGCGCCCATGTATTGTTAACGCGTGAATGGTAAAGTTTCATCTTATTTAATTTTATCTTTGCAGAAGCGAACTTGCGCTACTACTTGCAAGAAGAAAACATTAAAAAGAAAATTACTCGAGTTTCTATTAACAATTAAAACGTATACTAACACATTTACTTCTCTTTCCTACTAATATGTTCAAGCTACCTATTATTTGTATTTCCAGGCAAAAACTCAATCCCATCCTCTTCTCAGGCCCATCAACACAACTATGGAACTTCCAGTAGTCACTTACGCCAAAGAGTCCATTTTCACTATTTTCGTAATTGCCTTGCCGATTCTCTTTAACCCCTCGACTTCATATAACAGACGCTCATCGCATGATCATGGTAATTATGTGCGTCCTTATTTTATCATGTTATCTTTGCTTAAAATTGACAAATGAAAACATCTAACGAAAAATAATTTCATTGTTCTTTCCATGGGGAAAAATGAAGGAAATGAAAGCGCAAGTATGAAAGACGATACAAAAGGACGATGCAAGGATGTGCGAACTTTAGATTAGACGAATTTTCAATCTCTTCCTTACGAAAATCTCTACTTTCTAATTTCTAGAATCCGATTCGTACAACCACAATCGAGACTCGACTTACGCCGCTGTCTCTGTCGGTCAAGCTTCTCGATTGACGATGAACACGACGTTCGCCAGATCGAATAGATGCGTCTAGAAGAATGAACTGATGCCTCGGTGTGTATTTACATCTTATGAAAAAAGAAGTAATCGTGTGAATTGCCTCGAATGACTTCGCCGTCCATACGCAATGCAAGCCTTACGTAGCGTCGTGTACAATAAAAAGTCTTATATTTATATATTTTCAAATATATAAGATATTAAGCTACAATGATAAACTGTGATCGCGATCGAGTTACTCGATGGATCCTTGATGCAATGTACAAGAAGACGAATTTTCCTCGGTGAACTATTATACTCGTTCATCTCTAGATATATTTATTTTGATGTTATTTAAGCTCTAGATAAGAATGATTAAGTGATTTTTGTACGTATTATGATATAAGCAGCGTTTCGAGTGTGCAAACAAATGTGCAACTTCGTTAAATGTATGTGTTCCTTTTTTTTATAATTTTGCAACGCAAGATTGTACAAACAAGTGAGCTATTTATAGCACCGCTATAATTCTGCATTTATAATTCCATATTTTTATAATGGAGAAAAAAATATGAAGAAAATATATATATATATTCGCGTCTTGTCCGCATATTTTCCTCATCACTTAAGAGCCTTAATTGGAGCCTTATATATAAGCTTAAAAATTGACTTATCATTTTTATTTATAAATATTTTTGCAGATAAAAAATGAAATAAGATATTAATTTATGTGATACACGCGACGTACAAACGCACATACACATGACACGTGTGTGCAAATTATTCTCGCGTAATCGTAGTTTAATGTTACGCGATAACGTAATAATGTATTTTGATTCGTAAAGTAATCATTATAAACGCTTTTCTCAGAATCGAACGCATCTAGATATGTGCCAGCTCAGTCTCGATTGAGTTAAATCTGCGTGACTCCGTATCGGGTCTGCTGTTACATCTATCAAATTCAACAGCACATTGTATCCGTAATGCCGCTTAATTAATAAAGGAGAATTGATCGCATAATTTAAAATGGACTGCAAAGTCTCGGTTGGCCTCCGACTCGGTTAGAACGTAATTAATGACGAAGACGAAACGGCCCGGGGTCGAAGCGATCCCTTTCGTTCCGCGTGTTCGTAACGGAACGTGTACAACGTGGACGAGAAACACGGCATAACGTATCGAAATGTAAGACGAAGGCACTTCGCCACGTTATAATTAGCGAGGGAAATTGGGAGAGAGAGAGAGATGTGTCTATCTTCCATCAACAATGTGAAATTACAAACATATAAAATCAATGCTTCCATTAAAAATTATTTTTAAAAAATTGAAAAAAGAATTCATACAAAAATTTTTAATTATATTAATTTTTAAATAAAGTCACGGATCTTCAATTCGTAAAATTTGCGTAATTATTTTGCAAAAAACTTTATATATATATGCATCATACGTCATAAAAGATAAATTTTTCTCTCTTTTATAAATTTTCTGAAATTATCGTGATATTTGGAAGAGATTGTGCTCGATTATAGTAAAATTAGTGTATAGTAAAATTAATTAATCGCGTTTCGGATACAATTTTCTTTAATTTTTCAAAGTCACCGTGTATACTGTCGGAGGAAACTAGGCTTTGCTGTGCAGCATGTTTAAAACTGGTGTGGATGGGTAGGTGGGACCGCTTCCCACTTACATGTAACTGGCACACGAGCGACATTGTTACAATACCTGTTACAAGGTCCGCATCGAAAGGATAGTAAACTGCCATCGAGAATGGAGAACTGTTTATCCCCACTGAAAAAAAATAGCACAATGTAGCGACAGTTTTATTAAGAATACATTGAAATAATATGTTAATATACTCTCGAATGATTGTATTAATTGATTTCGCTGAAAAGTTTCCTCATGCCACCGTAGAAGGAAGAAGAGGATTAATTTATATTGGCGCCGACTGTATTTAATTATTTGTGACTCGATGAATATTTCTGCTATGACTATTTCATATCGTAAGAAAAAACAGTCTTGTAGGAGTGTGTGTACAATATCGTCACAGGAGTAATGTATTAGTGACATCAGGATTAATCATTCAATCATCAGATCATGCGGCAATAATATTGCTTACTCTATTATCCATTTCTATAACTTATATATGAATGATTATCTATGAATGATTATCTATCATCTAATTAAATGTATCCAAAATTTTATACAAAAGTAATTTATTAAATCAACATTTTAAAAATAAAAATAAAACCCTTTAAAAAGTGAAGAAATTAAATCCTTTATCCTAAATTTGTTGTCTCAAAATCGCGTGGTTTTATCATAAATTTAATCGGCGCATAAAAATCTTCGTCTATTAATTTTTATTTATCTCTATCTTTTATTCATGAAACTGGTTTTATCAAACAGTCCCTCTCTCTTTCGCGCTTTCACTCCATCTTTCTTTTCGAGATAATCATAATAGCCAATTTACCGTGATAAATCCTAGCAATCCTAATAATCCTAAATTCATATTTTCTCTGCTCGTTACGTATCAATGCAAGTAGTACCGTACAAAATCTCGTTCGTAAAGTCGTACTCGTGGGCGACGTATAAAGTCGCGGTCAGTTCGTGTCCGCGTCTCAGTCGGCGGCCGTGCCTTCTGTATCCGCGCGTGCCGTCGTATCCGTCAAAATCTTCCGCATCGCGATTTCGAGACGAGACATCGAGAGGAAAAATCGCGTAACGAATCGACATCTTGAACAGAATTAGGAAGAAAAACGTTTCCCTTCGAATTTCGTCTCTTTTTCTTTCTTAAAAATTTCATCGCGGAAAGTTTGATTCATTCGCGCGCAGAATTGGAAACGCGTCAGGATGCGAATCCTGACCGTGTTGATCCTCGGGCTACTCATTGTCTGTGTTGTCGACGGTAGCGTCGTACCAGACGAAGGTAAGGATTTCGATTCGAAATTGAAAAAGTGGAAAATATTTTTCCGACTTAATATCACAAAGTATCTTGCATTGCTTTCGAAATTCACGCCCACATTCCTCTTTTTTTATTAATTAACATAAACATATACATTTGCAGTAATAAAAGATTTTTCCCAATATTCTTTTTCATTTATCCAATAATCTAGATAGAATCTCGATAGGATTTTGTAACATTTAATACCATTCATAGCTACTTCTCTTCGATTTAGATGCGTTTGCTCTATCGAAGACCATTCCCGGTGCAATGCTACAAAAAACTTGATAGCAACGCGAGATCGATGACCAATACATGATACGATCGTTCAATTCCTGTTTATATCATATCAATCATGTGCAAATAAATTAAAAGCGAGATATCCTTCTATCGATCAATATTGATTAAAATTTCTAATCAATATTAATTATTATATTTTAAATCCATTAATTTCATCATCCATTATTCAATGCATATTATATTCTTTTTATACTAATCTATTTATAACATTTTTTTATTTTGTTTCGACAGCCTTAACTGCAAGCCTGCAAAATGTATGGAACGAAAATGAATTTATTATTGCTTTGTCCAATATTAAAATCAGGAAGAAATCCGGCACGAGCAATTCGATCGAGACTCTATTGGCCGTAAAGTATAAACAGAAAACCAAAATGGTGCTCATACTCGATCGACGCACAAAGCGCGGTGAGTCGACTAATTCCTCAGGATCACCTCAGGATTCCCTTAATTTTTTACATCACGAAACATTGATCCCCTCGTCGTTTCAGTTATACTCGAGAGCCTCGACGAGGGCGGCCGACGAAGCGCTGCGCACGTCAACGTAGATTCTCTCTCGGTGAATACGCCTCTGAAGAGCTTGATTATCCTGGTGCACCAAAGTGGTGCACCAACGCGAATTAACTCCCGCGTGGACGTATATGTCGATTGCATCTACGAGGGCTCCATACCGCTCAAGAAACCTTTCCGCGACATAGCCGAGACCGAAGACCCGTCCATAGAAGTGGTAAGAGTCTAAAATGTTGATCGTTAGATTAATATTCTTAGATAATATATTTAGATAATATGTATTTTTCTACATTGTGTCAATTCGTGCATTTTATTTGCGTTAGCTGAGGAAATTGAAAGAGTACAAACGCGAACATGTCGCTTTGAAATCGCTCCTCGAACGCTGAATCTAAAATCTCTGCCCACATTTTTACTTTTCCGTTCTACTCGATATTATTTTCCGCTGTCGCTCTCTTTCGCTGCTTTTACGATTGCACGACGATTTCTTATTTACGTGCTGTCCGTGACGTCCGCGAACGTGGGACGACGTCTTTCCAAATATGGTTGACGAGATCTAAGCTAGTTGCTGTTTCTGTTACGCGCACCTGGCCGGTTTACCCAACCCAAACACAACGATTTCTGATTACTCGGATGAATTGAATTCGTTTCAATGAATTATTCGTGTCCTTCTGTTATTCCGACTTTATACATTGTCCCTCTATGATTTCTTCCTATTTTTGTTGCAATTTACTAAGTAAAATTCTATATATATTTTCGCAAATATCAAAATAAATATACCATTAAAGATACTATTACATATGTATAATGTAAAATTTTTGATTATATCATAAATATATACTCATTTTTTAGCTAACAACTTATTTAATTAGTGATTTACTCGATTAAATTAATATTTATTTTAAATTAATATTTATTTATTAATAAACATATCGAAATTCTTTCAGTTCAGAGAACGAAAATGCCGGGCGAAAGTGTATCAATCCAACATTAATGACGCGTTGAAAAAGGAAAAGTGTCCCAAAAATCTAATCGATATTAAGCAGTCTTCGATATTCGAGAATACAAAACAACCAGATCATACGAAAATTAATTCTACCGATTCCAAGGGATATGATCAAAAAAAGAAACCTACCGATCGACCTGACGGGACCGATGATGATCACGGAATCAAGAACGGATCGGCCACGTCGGATCAGAGTAACAATTCTACACCGTCCACTGGTCAAAACGACACAAAACGTCCCAGACACCGTACGAATAAGAAATCTCCCAGTAAAAAAGATCAATATACTCATTCGAGCGATCGAGAGATCGCACACAAGAAGACTCCGCGACGCCCAGGAAGCAATAATAAACCTGATAAATATGATCTGGACGGTTCTTTTGATCCTTTCTCATCGGGTGAGATAGATAATCTTGATCCAGGATCTCTTTCTTCGCCGTTTACTTTGCAGCCGTCCACTACGGGAAATTATCCCACTAAACAATTGAAGAAACCGTATCAATTAGAAACGGAATCCAATGGATCGGATCAATATGGCTCAAAGAAACCTGGACGATCGGACGAGACCGACGGTTTTGACTATCCAGATGAGTCATCATTAACTTCGCCGTATACTAAAGGTACTCAACATCCCGACAAATTGCATCAAACAGATTCGAGACCCGATAGATCCGATGGATTGGATTCATATGAGTTTAACAAGAATCTTTTTCCAACGTCCGATAAATCTGACGGTTTTGTATCTCGTGATAAACTTAAGCGACCTGGTCGAAGTACAAGTCGTCCAGGAGTATCCGATGGATTCGATTATCCGGACTCGGACGTGTCATTAACTACTAAAAGAGTGCCCAGAAGAGGTGATATTGGAATCCAGAGTCTGGATGAAAGAAGTGAGTGAGATATAAGCGGGCATCAAATTGCTTTACATTATTCAAAATTTAACGCATGAAAAATATTTTCCAGTCTGCCAGACCGACGATCAAATTGTGAAAACCTTGAACGAATTAATCAACGCCACCAGGAAACTCTGGAGGGAACTGGAATTAAATGTAAGTAAAGCAATTAATTCTTAAATTTTAAATTAATGTTTTAAATGTGCTATTCATGTGTTGTATTAACAATAATGTGTTGTCATAACAATAATGTTAAAATTAAGATTAATCAAACATCTTATATAATTTTCCAATGTTTCGCTTCGAAAAAATAATTAATAAAAGATAATAAACTAAATTTAAATGATTATAGAAAATAAAAATTCTATTTTCATTACAATATGAAATTTGAATTTACGTTTCATCATTAAAATGCTTTGTTAAAAAAAATACCAATGCATTATGTATTCGTTATTTATAAGAAAAACAATTTTATTTGCCGTTTTACAGAGGCAGGAAACTCAACATCTTCGTCAATTGATCGAAAACTGCTCGGCGTGTCGTACACCCATCGGTGAGTGACGTTCCGTCGTATTGAAAGGACACGTGCTCGAAAATAACAGTTGTCTTAACTTAGAAGCTAGCCAAAATCGCACCGTAATATCACTTGAATGATTTTATCTATCACTCTCGCGTCCTTGACACTCTCGAATTTAATCTGTACGTGCGGCAGTTGTCAACGGAAATATCTATTTATATGCAACGAGTTGTATTAAGCAATCTTACAACGCAATAAATATCTGTTGTTAGAAAAATTCAACTTTGTTGTAACTCTTATATTCTTGTGTTGCGTAGTCCACAACATATATTTTCGCTTAAATCGCTAATCTCTTTCGACGTGTGGGTAGCGGGCTAATTTTTAAAACACGATGCTTGTATCTATAAACAATCGTTCGATAATTAATAAATATCGCATATAATATTTTTTTATTCTTCCGTCATAAGCAATTTTATCGCAATGCAATTATTGAAAAAAAATTCTCACTCTCTTGTAAAATGACATATTTTTGATATCTATCTGTTCGACTTCCATCTATCTGCAGAAATTAAATTAAAAGTAGACAGCTTTACAACTGCATCATTGTTGTCTCCGTATTGTCCCTATTCTAAGTAAATCGAGAATGCGCAAGAGATTCGCGATGTCCATCCTAAGTCGATCTCATTTAAATATAATGCACGTATATCACTTTGCACGTGCACGTACGACACGCTGGGGCGTCGCATAATTTTCCGGGGCTCGTGCCGGGCCCGCTCGACGGACGCGTATGGGAGATCGGAGACCAAAAATATCCCGAAAAATTGGCAAATTCATTCAATCGTCACTCGAGCCGTGATCCCGGTAATTCCCGTAGTGACACCACCGCCGCTGCTCTCGTGCGACCCTTCACCGTGCTACCCCGGCGTCGAATGCCGCCTCACACCAAGAGGACCTCAATGCGGCCCCTGTATCCGCGGTTATACCGGAAACGGACGGGTCTGCTCCAAAATCAACGTCATCACCTGCACCAACCGGCCGTGCTTCCAGGGAGTGCGTTGCTACGAAGTCAGCGATGGTTACAAGTAAAATTACCATCACGCATGTTGTCCGAGGCTGTAAAATAGATAAGATAAAAATATATAAAAGCAAGAATTTCTCCGAAAGAATAATGAATAATAATGAATACCTTAATGATGTATTAATAATACCTTATATAATAATGAATACCACATGTATTTCATGAGATCATACGTTGCATTCGAATATAATTCTCGTTTCCAGATGCGGTAGATGTCCTAGCGGATACACCGGCGATGGTGAAAGATGCGATAGGCATAGAAATGCTTGTGAAAGTCACCCCTGCCATCCGGAAGTCAAGTGCTATCCGACTTACAATCCGCCGTACTTCAAGTAAATAGCGACATACTTATTTGAAGTTCTTAATATTAATTTATTCAATTTCTTTTTGAAAAACAAAGCTAGTTTTCTTTAAAAATCTTATCGAAAATTAATGCAAATTAATAAAATTTTCTTTTAGCACATATGAAGAAAAAGAGAAACTATAAAAAATAATCAATTAAACCTTCACGTCTCTTTTTAAATTCGTAATTTTTTCTTTATTTTGTATTTTTTTCGAGGCACAAGAAGCTATTCGAATATCCGTCTTTCATCTCATGTTTCTTGATCAATTTTGAATACAGATGCGGTCCATGTCCATTGGGATATGTGGGTAACGGTACAGTATGCCTCGATGCGAACGAATGCGAGCTGGCTCGACCCTGTCATCCCGGAGTACGGTGCATCAATCTCCATCCCGGATACAGATGCGACAGGTGTCCGACAGGTTACACCGGACCAATGACGGAAGGTGTCGGTGTCGAGATGGCCAGGACGCGAAAACAGATTTGTCAGGATATAAATGAGTGTGACATCAACAACGGTGGATGCCATCCTAATTCAGAGTGTATCAATACGGAAGTAATACGGAGAAATTTTTCAAGATCTTAAATTATGATTTGCAGAGAAATAAATTTCTATTTTTCGTTATTATTTATACTTTAATTGCTCGTTATTCCTAAAGGGATCCTATAGATGTGGTTTCTGTAAAGCCGGCTACATCGGTAATCAAACAGTGGGATGTCATCTTCAACAAGATCTCTGTCCGGATATGGTAACAGTCTGTGACGTCAATGCCAATTGTATTGCCATGTATATCAATGAATATTCATGCAAGGTAAATGTCGCTGTTGTATCATCTAAAGAAAATTACGTAATGACAGATTGAAAACATTATATGTATAATATAAATAAATTTCTAGAAATAATATATTTGAAAGAAAATGTAATTAAGTTTCTCACATTTATAATTTTTTCTAAATTTGCAGAATTTTAAAAGCTTTTATTAACAATTATTATTCATTTTATAGATTTAAAATTAGAAACAATGTACGGATTATCTTTTCTGCCATGTTATTTATAATTTGATTAAAATAAAACATTAAAATATTTATTAATACTTTGATGCATCCTTTGCAGTGTCGCGTCGGTTGGGCCGGAAATGGATTCGTCTGCGGTCCTGACAACGATAGCGACGGTATCCCCGATAGGGGTCTGCATTGTCATGACCGACGCTGTCATTCCGACAATTGTCCGACGATACCGAACAGCGGGCAAGAGGACACCGACGAGGACGGGATCGGTGATGCTTGCGACAGTGATGCCGATAATGACGGCGTATTGAATTCACCCGACAATTGTATGTATCATTATAATCCGAATCAGCTGGACATGGATAATGACAAGATCGGCGACGAATGCGATAATTGCCCGAGGGATTTGAATCCGAAACAGGAAGATTTAGACGACGATGGCATAGGCGATGTGTGCGATAGTGATATGGACAATGACAGTAATTATCGCTATGTTTAATTTTTAATATTAAAAAAAAAAGAATTTCCAAATTTCTGTGAATTAAACAGGAAAAAGGAAGTAAAAGAGACATTCTATATTTTTCCATCGTAAAATGACTATTGATTGAATCGTTATCGATAATCAAGGCACGAATGATGCGCCACACTATACAATACTTATAATCCTTCAGATGTCCAAAATGCTCAGGACAATTGCATTATGGTGAGGAATCCTGATCAGCGTGACACCGACATGGACGGCATCGGCGATGTCTGCGACAATTGTCCAACGATCAGTAATCCCGATCAGACGGATGTTGATGACGATGGCGTCGGGGACGTCTGCGACACGGATGCGGACCGCGACAGGGACGGTGTTCAGGACGACAGGGACAATTGTCCCGATTTGGCGAATCCTGGGCAGAACGACATCGATCACGATAACATCGGCAACGAGTGCGATGATGACATCGATGGTGATAATGTAATCAATACGATCGATAACTGTCCTTATGTGTACAATCCGGACCAGCATGACATTAATCGTGAGTAATAAGTCTTTTCTTGTAACATTCATGAACAATAATGTGACTTTGCTACGCTGAAAAGATGAATAAATTTACTTAGTATATCAATCATTAAAATGTATAAAAAAGTTACTATTTAAAAATCTTAATCTTCTTTCTTAATTTATTTACGATGATAATTATGTATGCCATCTGTCATATAAGAAATCTAATATAACTAATTGTTATTATATTTATAAGAAAATCAGGCATACATAATATTATATTAAATAATATAATAAATATATTTATAAAAAAAGAAGATTTAAAAGGATCATTCAAATAGTAGTTTCAATTATAAATATAGCACAGTGAAATCTCATTGAGAACATTTAATTAGTGATGATGATGAAATTTTATTTATTATCCTAATCAATAAAACATAAAATCAAATAGATGAGCAAAGTGTGAGTTTGCATCGAAGCTCACTGAAATATTTATTAATCTTCAATGAAATCTTGTTACTTTTAAATGATTTTCACTGATTCAGTTTAAGACAGTTTTGATTGACATTGTAACGTTTATTACTTATATTTTGCATTTTATAGATGACGGTATCGGCGATGCATGCTGGAATGATAATGACAATGACACGGTTATCAATACCAAGGATAATTGTCCCAATAATAGTTTAATATGGGCGACAGACTTCCGAAAATATACGACCATCAATCTGGATCCGTACGGTGAATCGCAAAAGGATCCTGTATGGAAAATTCTTCATGATGGGGCTGAGATTTCGCAGCTTCTTAACAGCGATCCTGGAATCGCTATAGGTGAGTTTATTTTTATCTCATTAAAGACATATATAAAAAAATAGATATTCGTACATATATTTTGCAAATTTCGTAAAAATATTTCTTCTCCGAAAAACATTGTTTCTTTTAATTCAAAGAATACGAGAAAAACGTATAAAGCTTTTAATTAATTATTAATTAATTCCACAAAAGACTATTGCGCTAAATTTGTTTCATCTATTTGTCTGTTCACGTCAAGGGCCGGATGAATTCACTGGCGTCGATTTCGAAGGGACCTTTTACATCGATGATCAGGACGACGATGACGATTTCGTGGGCTTTGTTTTTTCTTATCAGGATTCTCGACATTTTTACGCTGTTACTTGGAAGATGAACGAGCAGGTTTACTGGATACCAACTCCATTCCGCGCCGAAGCCGATCCCGGGATTGTATTGAAACTCGTCCAGTCGGAAACGGGACCGGGCGAAATACTCAGAAATAGTCTTTGGCATAAGTATGACACTCCCAATCAGGTGAAGATTATCTGGACAGATCCAAAGAAAATGGGCTGGCAGCAAAGGGTGTCATACAGATGGCATTTGATACACAGGCCACAGATCGGTCTGATCAGATTCTGGCTGTATCAGGGGACGTTACTGATAACCGATTCCGGAAACCTGTTCGATTCGACTTTACAGGGCGGCAAAATAGGTGTCTACTGCTTCTCGCAAATGAATATCATCTGGTCCGATTTAATGTATAAGTGTGCAGGTAAAGCCTAGCAAGCAATCCTACGAGCAATTTCTATAAAACATGTTACATAAAACATCGTAATCAACTATTTCAAGAATTCATCACTTAAAGAAAACTATAAAAATGTTTTTGGTTATCATATTAAATGTAGTAAATACTTTTTTAGAATTATAGTAAAATATAATAGAGATAAAATAATCATCAGACAATTCATATAAGAAATAACTGTCACTAATAGTTACCGAAATTTTAAAGTAATTGGCATATTTATATAGCTAAGAAATTAATATTATTTCAGAAACCGTGCCTCGATACATATGGGACCAATTACCTGATAATCTAAAGAAAGAAATTCAAGTGAAGGTTGAAACAGGTCATCAACAACAAATAGTACAACGAATGAATTACGATTTCTAAATCAGATTCTCGGTGAAGAGAACGAGTCAATAAAGAGTGCAGGGATTACAAGGAAGTTTAAATCTTCGTAATTTTAATTTTAAAATAATCACGAAATTATATCTAGGCGAGTTATAATCAATCAAATTGCATATTTTTGACGCGTTTAAATAATGGTTTGCATAAACTTGCAATTCTTGATGAGAAATTTTGTACATTTCTTAGATATATATCTTGTAACACAGAAATATTTAATATTCCAGAATGTATGATAAATATATATTTCTTCTATTTAACCTATCAATTAATTTTTATTGTGTCGGAAATAATTATTTAAGTATTATTATCTCAATTTCAATGTTATTATAAAACGAAATATACGTACTTTATGCAGATATTAGAGTATGTACAGAGTCGCGAGATACATCGATTAATGTATGTCATCATCTGAATTGTATAAAATCATAATGATTATTGTTCCATTTTTTTATTTCTCTAAGAAATGCAACTTTCGTAAAAATTATTTTCGTATTTTAATAATAGAGCAAAATAAAATACTAATTGTTAATAGGTATATTTTCCATGGCATCGTTACTCATTATAATCAATTCACTTTTCAACATGAGCAACATCGATATAACATAAAATTATAAGGAACTTCATTAAGCTCTTTTAACCTGTCAAAAAGAACTGAAGAGGATTAGTAAGACGAGATAATTTAAGGCGCGATAATTAATATTCTTTTCTCGATTAAACACTTTATTCGTATGAAAATGTCAAAGAAAGATACGATATTAATAATTTAACGCTGAAACTCCGATCACACACATTCTCGTAACACATCTAGAGTAATAGAGTATGTCTTACAGATTTCACCGATAACGGCTACAGAATTACATGCGAGGAAATGAATTTGAGAATAAAACTTAAAGAAACTGTATATCGCGCGCGCTTGGCGAGTCGCGAGAGCCAAGAATCAACGCAGAACCGCAGAGATTTCATTGACAATGAGAAGTAAGAGACCAACGAAAGAGACGCCACAGAAACGGATGGTGTGAGGTATTAAATTCGAATTTATTTGCCTCACTCAGACAGACGTGACGCTGAGGTGAATTAACTCGAGCGATCGTATATATTCTCCCTAAGTTAATATAATCCTTATTGAAATTGACGTAAACAGTCTTCTTACAATGCTTGTTCCCTTGCGGCTTTTACAATAATTTCGAGACGAGAAACTGCGAAACTGTCGATCGTCGTCGCCGCGATTACCGCGACGGCGGCCTTTTATCCTGCCGCCCTTCGAAGGGCGCACCCTCTCTTTCTCTCTTCGTCCTAATCCGCGCTCTAAACTCGAGATATCGATCATCCCCTAAACGCGTGTTCGCGCTAATACAAGAGTTGGATCGTGCGACATACATGTAATATTATATTTTTTTACATATTTATATATATGCATATATATTTTATATATACGTATATATATATACACGAGAAAGGTTCTAGCTAGAGAATAAATTATTAAAATCTACGCATAAAATTGTATTAATAATCGAGGAGAAACAGGAGAGGAGGGAAAACGTTTTTTCTTAATTGTCTACTTATCTATTTACACTAGGGAACGAAATGCACGAGTGCGACTCCGCGTCGTCCGCGATTCGAAGCCTCGCCCTTTACACGATAAAACGCGAAGCTTCACGCGCGCGCTCTTTCTTCATTTTTTTTTCTAGAGTAAAATTGCGTTCGCTGACGCGATGCGACGCGACGCGCACGTTGTGGCAGTGGTCGCTCAGAACTCGCTGATTAAGGCAGTTGGGCACGCCTCGAACGGAAAGGAGATAGCCGAGTGTGTCCCTCGCGAAAGGACACTTCTCGCGAGAGGATCGATTTTGCAGCCGCGGTCCAGCAGCGCGCTGACACTCGATTGGGAACAGTCTTTGTTTGGAAGATCATGGAATCGTTATCGCATCATCATCATCATCATCATCATCATCATCATCATCATCATCATTATTAATGTAATCTTCTCTTTTATTGGCAGGATGCTTACAATCAATGTCGATTCCAGCGGATGATGATTTGATAAACCGTCCAACGACTTTTCTAGTCTGCATACTAAGAGAAGTCAGCTTATAGGCAGGAAAAATTGTGTGCTTTTTGTATTTTCATTGTGTGAAACTATGCGTCAATAACGTTTATTTTTGCCATCATCGCACTCCGTTAGAGTTAGAGAGTCTTTTCGCGACGCATCTAAACGACTTCCAATTTCATCAGCGCGAGTAGTGAACGTTAGCGACGTGTGCTTTTGATAAACGAAACTCGAATAGCGATGTTCTTAATTCCCATCAAAAATATTAATATTAAAAAATGACATATGCAAATATAAAAAACGCAATGGATCAGATAAAAGGATGAAGATATCGCGTTGCGTTTTTAACGTTACTCGACATAAATATGAATAAAAGCAATTCGCTTTTCTAAAGCTAGAAGTAGAGGAAGAACTTGCTAAAATTATCATTAAAATTGATGCTCGATGAAGTCGACCTTTAGACTTGTGTAAAACACAAATGATCGATTAAACACGAATCGTTTTCGAATGAAAAGTATCGAGGCAATCGTGTTATTGGACGTGTATGTGTGTGGGGGGGTGTATGTGTGCGCAATATTAGTGCGCAAAGCCCTTTGCCATGTTTGAACAGAACGAAGAGATACATGATCGCGTCGAAGAAGCAATTATTAGAATCGAGGAATATGAGTCGTTTGCACGGTAAATTCTCGGAATGGCATTCCGAGAATTTACCGTGCAAACGACTCATATTCCTCGATTCTAACAATTGCTTCTTCGACGCGATCGTGTATCTCTTCATTCCGTTCAAACTCGTATTTCATGCAAATATCGCTCTTTGCTTATTCAAACGAACGTGCGCCTTCTTGGAAATTGACGTCTTAGTTCGCAACGTTGGAATGTCTCTGAAAAGTGTAGTCTTCGACGACGTGAAAGGAACGTCTTCAAATTAATATTCCTCGCGACGGCATCGTCGAATCGACTCGCTGATTCGAGACTTTGGAAGAGAACTTTTGTCTAACGTTTCGAATAAGTAATATCTAGAAAATGAAAGGAAGATGCGTTAATAAACGCGCGGATTTTCATTGACGCGTTCGTCGATCCATCGCGCGTATTCTTATCGCCCTCTGGAAAGATAAAGTCATCGATCGCGGTTAAACCGTGGAAGTATAAGCATCGTCGAAGATATGATAAAGATTCGATAGAAGACTCTTCATTCATCCTACACACACAGTGTCCCCTAATATACTTCTTTAGTCCTCTCTTGAGTTTCATCGACAATGGTCCATTGTTTTGTCAGATTGCGACCTAACAGGACGAACAAATTTATCGCGCTCGATATCAAATTGATTACCGAAAATACGGACAATAACAACGTCACTTGGTATCGGCAATCTCTCGAATTGTCTTCTCCGAACGATAAAGCATCTTAGCGTTGCTTCTTCGTTTTCATATCACGACGATCGCTACCGTCGATGGGCGAAGTGCTGGACGTAACCTCGGGTCACCAGGCCTCCGTATATCGAACATCGAATTCTTGCAGAGCCGGCAATCGCTTCTTCAGCGACTCGAATGTCTGGGCTGACAGCTTCGTGCTGTTTAAATTCAGCTTTCTTAGGCTGGTTAATGCTGCAACAGAATAGCAAAGCATTTTTTTAAAGCGACGAATTAAAAAATTTCGTCAAAATAAATAAAAACTCGAAGAGTTAATATATATATATATTTATATATATATATATATATATATATATATATAAAAATCAATATATATGTATATTAATTTAGATAATATGAGAAATATATTAATCCAACATTTCTTGCATTCTTTTCATCGTACGCATTCATATTCATGATATTCATTGATATTTATTTAATCAATCTCTAATTATGCTCTTCAATATACAATTCTTGATTTTTGATAACTAAAACTTAAATGAATATTTGACTTGATTGATGGATAGTCGTTTTTCAAAACAGTTTGAAATTATTAATTATTAATAAATTTTTTTCAAGTCTAATGATTCAAGTTGTTATTAAATTCCTTCGAAATGAAGATACTTACAGGCCAACGTAGAGATGCCTTTGTCAGATACGGGCGTCTCGCAGAGATTCAGCACCTGCAGCTTCTGCAGATGCTCGCTGATCATCTGTAGGCCGGCGTCGCCGAATTGCGTGGCCCATAGATTCAAATATCGTAGCGCCGGCAGCTTGATCAGCTGCTCCGCGCACGCGGATGTCACAGAGGTGAAGGCTAAGCTGAGGCACTCGAGATTACCGAGGGCGCGACCGCCCAGCAGAAGGGCGACGTCGGCGTCGGTCGCTCGCACCGGCAGCGTCAGTTTACGCGGTCCGCCCTTTTGTTGCTGCCAAGAACGAGATCAAACGCGCGCATATAAGCGTACACGAGCATGATAAGAGCCTATAGTTTATCATCGCGTTCATCCAAAAGAAACGAGGCACAAAGCTCGAAGACGCGGCGCGCAATTTTCCGCGCCGCCTACCGGAATAATGATTCGCGACGTTCCTTACCAGCTCCTGCAGATTCTTCTGCCTTTGACAGAGCGCGACGTAGCGCTCCTTCCCGGATTCCGTAGACTCCAGCGCGTTGACTATCTGAAGCCTCGCCTCCTCGTTCGGCAGTAAACGCCACTCGAGCATCAAACAGAGCGCCTCTTGCGCGGCGTCGCAGCCCCGCACCGCTAGTAAAATGCAATCATCCCCCGCTTGCTTCTGTAGGGACGCGATGAACCTCTTTCGCCGATAGCAACATGTCAGCAGAGTTGTCAGCTAACGTGAAAGTAATAGAGCTCTATTTACACGTTATGTAAATGTATATTTATTTGTATATTACAGATAAATTAGATTGGAAATAGTTCTCTTCCGAATTGCCTGTTAAAATTCCTCGACGATCAAATCAGTTATGTAATCCAGAATAAAATTTATTCGATCGAAACGCTTTCCGTTCCATTCACTTTCCCGCAATCGTCACGACAGACCTCATTAATTCCGCGCGGCGATGGCGATTCAGTTCCGCGATAACATTCGAGAGATTGGAATGGATGCTGCCAATATAGGTTTCATTGAAGTCGAGCGCGCACGCGTAGCCTCAAAAGAGCCAATTCATGAATATTCAGATGGACCCTCGAGTCGCATGAGAATGATCGTCGCTCTATTTACTCGAGATGAATTGTTTCTGAACAGCAAATCTTATTGTGGTATTGTGGTATTATCGCGAGGAGGCCGGGGAGACGTGATTCGAAATGCCTGGCTCGCTCGAGATATACCGAATGCGCTGTAATCATTTCACGTGTGGATAAATTCGGTAGCGATAAGCGCGATAATTGCATATCCGTCCGCGTCGCTCTCTCTATTCGCCGTTAGAGATATTTATATCTCTCGCCGAGTGTGACCCAAATGTATGTTTAAAAGAGACGAATGTTTTATACGAGATCGTAAAGAAAGGAAGACACATAAATGTCACGCTCGCGTGTCTTTCTGTGAGTTTTTTCATGTCTTATTAAAGATTTAAGATCAAGAAAACTGTCCGCATGTATGAAAGGATCTTTATAGGTGTAATTATATTTTATAACCGAGTAAAACTTTTAAAACCCCAAAAAACCGCTCGTTTTTATTTTTCGAAGCGCGTTAAACGATCTTAACGATACGCGAAACGTGACTGTTTCGGAGGAAGAAACAAGTTGAAATCTCTCACCATCTCGCCGAACAGCTCTCCGCGATCTGGACAGGCTGGGCTGGACGGCGCGGCGATATGGATCCAGCCTGGACGCGGCTCTCGGACGGGCAACAGAATGCGATGCACTATGCATCTCGGGTCTTTTGCCAGTCGTTGCATCACGCACATCAGCACGGACTCCTGAACTTCCCTCATGGCCAGAGCTTCTTCCGGGAACGGGACAGGCTGCAAGAGCGCCCCGAGACCCGGACGCCAATCGGAGTACTCCGATCTGAAATGTTATTTCTCGAATTTAAAGCTGGAAATTCAGAATAATTAAACGAAGAGTACGAGTTATGCATTGCTTACGCAATATTCAAGACGAGCAAGTAGCACTGCAACGGCGGCAACAACGGCTGCTTATCGTCATTAGATGATCTGCGACTCGACACTTCAAATCTGCGAGCAAAATCCATGGCATTGTTGAAAGTCTGGAATTGTGATTTTCGCTTGTAACAATGGACATGACACTTGCCTGTGGAATATAGCCGCGACGCAGATGGATACGAGATTGGGAAGTACCCTTGGATGCGGACAATCACTACCAGGCCCATGAACCGACGAGATGTAGTCTCTGATTGCCTGCTCGCCGTCGTTGTTTTCGTACAAAGCCGCCACAAAGACCTATGGACATATAAAGCAACATTGCATATTATTCATCATAATAAATCGGCCAAACAGTTAAAATGACTAGAATAGCAAAAGTTTAATAGATTCTTGATCTAAACTCGATGTATAATCAAGCCGTAAATTAAACTAACGCCAGCCAAAAATAATGTCGTCCACTTTTCGGCGCCTACCTGCAGCAACTTCCTCATGTCCGGCGACTTGCCAAAGTCAACGGTGTGCTTCAGGCATCTCGTGATCGCTGGACCGAGCATTGGGACCAGCTGCGATCGCGGATGCTGCTGTGCCAGTCTAGCGAGCGCTCTTGCGAGAGCCGCCGGTGGGGCTGCCTTTTCCAGAAGCGGCGCCACCACAGAGAGCACGGCCTCTGCCCAGCTCCTGCGATCGCGAACAACACCATCGATCTTCGCATTTGTCTCCGAATCCGCGTTGGGTTCCTCTAGAAGTTTAGCGACTGCCTCCAGTGGAGCACCCGCCACTCTTTCGTCCTGGAGCGGCGTCCACAGAGCGAAGTCTACCATGGTGCGTAATTCGCGCAATATCACCTCTTCTCGTGTGCTCATAGACACCAGATGTTGGTACTTGAAGATGCTTTTCTGATGAACAAACAAATCGATTTGACTTATCATAACTTTAGTTTGTTTAATAATAAATTCATTAATCAGAATTTGAAAGCAAGGAAGTTTCTACAGATGAGAGAGAAGAGAGATGTATGATTGAGTATTATTATAATAAATGATTATTATAATAAAAGAAAGATTATTAATTGAAAGATTATTATAATAAATAAAGTGATGTATAATAAAGTAATATATTTAAATATAATAAACATAGAACATTAAATATAATAAACATAGTAGAAATCTTATTTTTTTCAGGTCTATCATGTTACGATTTTCAATATCAACAAAGAATAATTAACTAAAGAAATCATATATTAAAGATTAACTCGAATTTAAATATAAATCATTGAAATGAAATAACTGTCTCTCTTTAAATAAAATTAACGATATTCAACTGTCAATGTATGGACAATGTTTCTAATGGAGATACGTCCGTAAACAATACAATTCAATTAATCGTTATGATCAATCTAAATCGCTGCGATTTACTCGTAAAAGCCGCGATACGAGAAGCTGCTTATTAACTTGACTGTCGGATATTATATTGTTCACTACAACTGTCATAAAATACGTATCCTAGAGATTTGATGCAGCCGAGGACGATCGAGAAGAACGTTTACTTCACGCGACGTTATTACTTTCTGTTTCAGTCTTATATTGTCAGACGTTAATAACGACCGTGTTTACTCGCGTTCAACTGCCGATCAACATCAGAGAGAGCCGAAATATATTGAAAAATATTGAAAAAAATATTTGATATCAGCGTTTGTTCATTCGCGTGAATAACATTGATCGTTTTCGGAAAAAAAATCAAATACCACGAAAAAAAATACAAATACGGTGCTCTATTGTTCACCTAAAATGTTACAAGTTAAACAAAATAAGAAATCAAAATTATTTTTCTTTCCAATATTTTTCATTGTCACTACCAATAAGCAAGCAATAAACAAGCAAAGGCAAATTTTAGCAATATAATCAAGTAAAACGTTAAAACCAATTTAATTTTAATATGAGATAATAACTTATATAATTTGTTATTTAAATAAATATAATTTATCCTTATATAAAAAGTAACGTTCTCTATAATTATATTAATATAAGTAATTTGAGTATATCAATGATATTTTTTTAACGTACTTTCCACAAGATCGAGTGATACCACTGGTCCCTCGTATAAGCGTTGCTGGCTTGTAGAAGAAGCGAGCCATCCGGCAAAACGATGCTAAGACAGTTCTTATATGTGGGATCCCATCTGGCGACAACGTATTTTCGGACCTCGGACATGCTGCTGTATGGAACAGGTTGTTGAAGGAAACCCGTGAGCTGAAACAGACAAACAAATAAAATTTGAAATTGGGGAAAGAAGCTTTCGCAAAAAAAAAAAAAATATATATATATATATATATATGATTGCAAAATGTCAATAATATTATCGAATTAACATCTTATTTTCAGCTTGTTATCATAGTTTAAAAAGCTTTATGCAAAATTCTGATACGCGTACATAATCCCCATAATTCACGGAAATTACATTTCAGAGAATACAGCGTATGAAATAATGTAATTAATTATATACATGAACTAATCTAATTACTTACAATTAGTATAATCTAGCTTGTTATATAATGAAACTGCAAGATAAAAATAATGTACTATCATAACTCGTAATCAAATCGGAATTATTCTGTATTTATTCTGAAACGTCATTACAAACGGTAAAAAATTTTCATCAATAACATTTCGCTTCCGAGAAAGAGGAAAGAACGATAATTTTAAAATAAATGTGTTATAACTTCAAAATGGCATTTCGTTATTTATTGCAGAAAAACATAATTCAAAAGAGATTTATTATTTTTGTACCTTTATCATCAATCATTTTTCTCTTTCAGCTATTATAAGTGGAAATTATTAATATTAAACGCACAAACTCAACAAATAAATGCCATTGCTGTTTATATAATTTATTTATATTTAGCGGATATGATAGAAATGTTTGTATAATATCGACATTATTTAGTGAAAATTATTATTATAATTGAAAGAAAAAGTGCTATGCAAATTTATTTGCAGCATTCTTAAAATTAGCTAGCATTAGCTAATATATTAAAGAGAAAAAAGAGCATTATATATTAGCCCTTCGTTTATATATTGTAGTATAAATTATGATTTAACATTGAAATATTAGATGCAAAAAGTTCATCATTTTTCTATTAAATTTTATTTTTCTCTTTCCTAATTTATAAATTTCTCATATAGGGAATTGAAGAAATTTTCTATAAATGGCAAAAATGTATTGAAGAGTGAATAATCATATATATAATGAATAATAATTATAATTAATTTTGATTAATAAGAAATTATTATTCAAAGTTATTTCAACTTTACTTGAGATGCGAGTTTTTCTTGCATCGATCTAATAGCAGCTTCGAGTTAATGTCAACACAGACTTTCGGCGCGCAACTGGTCTCTAGAAATGACGTAATCACACTTGTCATAACGAAGCGCATGAATGTATATAGAGCAGTACACCGACGAATCTGGCCGTGGCAATAAAAAATAACCGACTCGAACAGGAAGGAACGGAACAGACGCGGAGAGAGCCGGGGGAAGGAGGAAGAGAAAGAAAAAAAGGGAGAAAAAGGGACGATGAATTGAGGGAGAAGTTGCATAATACGATCTGATGAGGACAATGCGCCCTGGTTCGCGCATCACCCCGGTCGGTGTCTCGGGTTTCCGAGACTGCACAGGGGATGACGTAGTCGTGCGTGCGTATGTATGAATACCTGTGCGTGAATGCCGGGCAGCTCGCCAGTGTGCCAGTGTGTAAACGTGATATCGGCGACTAACACAGAGACGCGAGTACCTGCGTGTGGAATAGTGAGTGACGTCAGCACGGGGCGAATCTAGGCCGAGGGTTGAACGACTGGTTGGAGCAGACTTGGCCGAATCTAGGACGCCGCATCCCCTCGCTAAATGCGGCCCTCGCGAAAGCGACACGGGGCCGATCGCGCCGGAATTCGCGCAATATCTTTTGCGCGCGCGAGCGATCTCATTTCGCGCTTTCCGTGTAATCAGGTGTTATTCTTTGTGCATTTTGTCGGAGAAAGGGGAGCAAGATGGAGGAGGAGAGAGAAGATCCATTGAAAAGCTGCATCATGCATCTTTCGATGCCGTGCACCGTAAGAACAATGCGGATAACTATTCTAATGTGAAAAGAGGAAACAACGAAGTTTTATACTGCGGCAGAAATCTCGAGAGCTACTCATTTAAATAAAAAATAATGATCGAGAATGATTTACTCGCTTTGTTCGACTCGATCGAGTTTGCAAATCGGAATAGCTACGCTGTTTATGATAATTAAATGACTGCATTGACAATTATTTAATAAATGCAAAGTAGATAAGCGTCATATTTTATGAATAAAAATCATGTGTCAATTTATATTTATTAAAAATCTATGCATTTCGACGTTTAAATAAAAATTTGCTTATGGAGAAAAAATGGCATTTGTGCGTAATGCGCTAAAAAAAGGAGCACTTGCCGTTACAAAGGGCGCGCGCACGATGTGAATAATATACACTGCAACTTTTTGTCGTATCTTCTGATCCAAGGTCATCTTTTGTAAACGGCTTCGCGCTCTTTTTATGCATCTGTGTTATGAAGACTGCCATGCATATGCATGCATCATGCATATTCATGCGTGACGCAAACGATAACGAAACTTACTGCGCCCATTACTTAACTGAAAGTAACTAAATTTCTCATACTCTGGTAATAGTCACTTGATACTCGCGAATATTATTTTCGTAACTTTCCTTTCCCGGCCTCTCCTCGTGTATTTAAATCGATATTTTCCGCGCGATAACAGAATACGCCTCGTGCATATTATGAGCTTCTATAATTAATGGATAACGCTATACCGTAATACGTACAACACGGTAACATCAAGGCTATCGAGTGTCAGATTCAAAAGATAAACGAGTGAATGACACGCGTACGGGGTTTGCTTATAATTCTCTCTTTGCGTTATACGTGTACGTAGAATTTCACAAATGTGATATGCGCAAACTTAACTTACTGATAGCTTACTCTGTGATCGAAAAGTAAATCTTTGGAATTTAATTACTTAAATAGTCGTTAAATAGATAGAGAGAAACACCTGCCAATTATTTACAATTGTTTTTGACACTATAGAGAATCTTCTCTTTTGAATTACAATATCCTATTTGTAGCTCTTGTGACATGCGATTGCATAATCGATGAAAATGCGATCAATCGGAATGTAAACGCGATGAGTCGCTCATTAACATCTGGCTCAGAGACGGAATGATAATGTTGCATTCGCAATATTGTATCAATTACACATTTAAATACAACAGGACACCGGCGATTCACGAGTCTTCCTGGGTGTTGCGGTTGTGCAACTGCGTTAATGGACAATTGCGTGATGTGGAAAAATAGAAGTCAGGTAGATCAGCACATTATTACTCATAAATAATACTACAGTATTTTAAGCGCGGCGATCATTATGCTCAATTTTTGCAACGCCGGAAAATGAGACGCCAATCTACCACGTAAAATAAAAAAAACTAATGTGAAAATTTGCAAAAAGTCTCTCTTGGATGTGAAATAATTCTAATAATTCTTCTAATAGATAATTTTAAAAATCAAATAAATTAAACCTAAAAGAAATATGTATAGAACTTTTACATGATAATGAGTTTGAATCCAGCCAAGAAAATTTAAAATTATAATGCGAATGTTTTTGTATCGATGAAATTTTACGTCTACATTGATCGAAGAGAATTTACATTTATTATAATTGTCACCGGCTTGCAAAAGCGAAGTTCAAAAGAAGACCGGAGATATGACGTACAATCTGTCTCTTGCATTTCTAACGGGAATATAATACTGCGACACAAACTCCACAGTTACTTTCCTAGAGTATCGTCGCGCAATTCATTCGTTCCTCCTGCGTAATGCATTTTTGTACAACAGGAAGTCTCTCGATTTCATATCGCGATAAAAGTCCAATTGTAAAGGAAGGCGGAGATGTCGCTGGCACGTGTTGCAGGATACACGTGGCCAATTTGTCGTGAACACACAAGGTACGACGCGAGTCGTGATATCGTGTCCCTATCATTTTCTCGTCATCTATTGATTATAATGTAGCATTATGCAACTTTAGGTTTGTACAAGAGAAGCACAATAATGAATAAAACGAATATGCTGATTGCGAATAATTTCGACAAAATCGTATTAAACCTGCTAAATATTACAAGATTTTTTAATTAAATTAAATTCCTGTTAAACAAATAAATTGAAACGAAAATTTATTTCAATTACTCTCGCAAAAGTACCGAACAATTATTATCTCGCGTTTTATATATTTAATTTTATAGAGAAGAAATTATATATTTTTTTTATATGAATAAGCGAATTTTCATATGTACATATAAAAAGATCTCTTTACCTCCCTTTGTAATAGTAGGATTAATCGAAGAAAAGTACAATCGGTCAGAATTTTCATTCGTCGATTATTTCAGACATTCAGAAGTGAGGTCGTTGATCCGAGTCGTCGCCTTTAATTTCGAAATGAATACACGTGGATCGTGCGTTTGATAAACAACTCACTTACAGCACGGAAACGAATAGGGCGCTGTCCGTCTCTGTATTGTTGCAAATTTATCGATTCGCGTGTTCATTGTTTTCCCTCGTCCTTTTCCGAACTGCACATGTATTCCTATATTTAACGAAGTTTATGAGTCCGATGCATAAGAACAATAGAATCATTTTAACACTTTTATAAATTACTTTACACAGTCTATTTGCAAAATAAGCACAAATATTTATCGGAAGATACATTGTTTTTCAATTAGAAATATTTCAAAACTATTGTTGTTTGATGAACAATCTTTTCCGTGTCGACATTTTACTCTTTATCAATATTTCTTTAAATAAAATTTAAAATAAATAGTAAAAAATATGATTGAAAATTTTCTTTGTAAAAAAAATAAGTAGTAAAAAATATGATTGAAAATTTTCTCTGTAAAAAAGTGTCGTTTAGGCACCGTCCGTTAGAAAAAAAAATCATCGAATTGCCGTAGAGAGAACGCCTGTAATACACACATTGGCGCCGAGATCTAAAAATAATCCGCACCCGTAAAAGCATCGTCGCCGGCCCATCGCATCGACGAAAACAATACAAGATAAACGAGACGAGCGGCGAAATAAATCGATTGTTGGCGAGTGATAGCAGATTGCGATTCGAAATATCCCCGGGAGATTGGTAACATATAACAGTTTTCCCAAGCGAGATGATG